TGAATTTTCTTCTGTTATTAACAATAATAAGTGTAAGAATATTATAATTATAGTTATAACGCATAAACATATAGAGAACTGACATTTGAAGAATTTCAAAGTATATTTTTTTTGCAGTCACATGGCCTATAAGATTTGGTCAAACTAATGTCAAATATTTGTAAGTCAATGACCTTACGCTATATAACGTATTCTAGTCAGAAACTTCACCTATTTTTCACCTATTTTTTGTATCTAAGTGCATAATAGTAGGTTTTTGACATGATTATGGATTGGATCATAAATTTCTTTAATTTAAAAAGGCAGATAGATCAAATATAGCGGTTCAAAATTTTAAAAATATAGAATTCACGCAATTTTTTTTTACTGAATTTCTGTTTATAACTCATCGCCACGTATAACCGTGAATGTATATTATCAAATCAATTTATGATGTTTTTTACGTGAACTAAGGGTTAAAAAAGCTAAACATCTCATCGATTATTTATAAAACTTTCATTTTCATGAAAATTATTTCAAATACTCGTAAAATGCATCACAAATGTACATAGATTGAGTATTATTTATATTTTCTTTCTGATCAAATTACTAATTATTAATTTCTGAAGATTGATATTCCGTGCCCATAATTCAGAATAACGAAGCGTATTTCATATTACAATCTTCGGTTGAAGCATATCCTCCCCTGTATATAATCATAAAAGGGGAGAAGGTATAGATTAATCGATCGATTTCCAAGATTAAATACTTCCATGCTTGATGGCTTGTTATTAAATTAAAGCAAAATAATAATGCTCGAGTACACACAGATACAGCTGATCAGGCTTCGTTTCAAACATGTTTATGCTGCAATAAACAAGTCTAAATATTGTTATTTATAAACTTCTTTTCAATTTTCATTATTATGATTTCCTTTTTTTCCTTTTTCTTTTTGATTCCTACCCTCGTCCAGTTTTCTTATATCAATCACGCAATAGAATTACATGGATACCGCAAAAAATGTTCTGATCATTTCGCCTAGTAAATAATGACATATTCATCCTGTTCTTATGCTCATTCTCTGAGACAAATTCATCATTATCTTCTAAATAGATAGTCAAGTTCATATGAGTAAATTTAAAGAAGATTTGGAAAGTTGTAAAAAAATAAAGATAGTATGCTGACATCGAGTTCTGAAGTGCAGGTGCAAATAAAAGAGAAAAAGAAGTAAAACAGCAGAGCAAAGTATGAAAATCAGCTGTCTCGAAAAGCGAGAAGGAAGAGGCTGTGCACTTTAGAGCGAGCGTGTCTTAGCTCGTTGGCGCATTTACCATCTCACTAACGCAGCAAAATAAACAGGCTGGTAAACTGCGATACTACCACATACGCCTCAGACCTAATTGATCGTCATAAGTTTCGAGACACCTGTCGTGTCGCGCCGTCGCTGCCTTGCCTCTCTTCCACATCTCTTCTCTCTCTCTCTCTCTCTCTCTCTCTCTCTCTCTCTCTCTCTCTCTCTCTTTCTCTTTCTCCCTACTTCTCTCTCTTGCTCTTGCCAAATCCAGTGATTAAGCAACTGCTTGTACCAGTTTGCATGATAACACCACTCTTTGTGCGACGCACGAAGCGCGCCACTCTTCAAAGGCGACTTATTACTAAGAGACTTGGCGAGCGCATTGTGCAGCCACGCCAACCAAGTAAACCTTCCAAACTTAACATTTATAGGTTTTTGTGGAAAAAATAGTATTAACTGGTAATATCAACTGGTGCAGATATAGTTTTTCAACAAAATTCGTTACATCATTCGTCTTCTGTTTGTAGTATAACCCCTCATTTTGCTGAACAGTCACAACTACATCCGTTGAAAAATATACTATTTTTGATCTTCAGCGAGTTGCATATCGGGACAGATGCGCTTCAATCTGGCACGGGCGGGCAATTTTATTAGAAATTACTTCTTGACGATAGCCAGACCCAGAAATTCTGCTCCGATAAATGTAGGCCAGAGATCGTCTATTATTTATACGTGCAAGATTCATTCTGACGTCAAGTTTATCGACCTCAGATGACAGAATATACTTTCCAGTTGCTTTAAATAGAAAAACGCGCAAAAAAAAGAGAGGTACAGAGAGAAACGAGCCAAAATAGAGGTTTGACATTAAGAATCTAAATTCCTGATAAATTGTGCAATCGTGTACATGACGACGGCAATCTCCGTCTACCTAAGGCATCGTCTGAGGCTTCCAATTGCATACGAGGCATTTTTACATTTATAACAAATTTCTCTTTTTTACTAGTGTTGTTGAGAGTTTGATCGTTCGCACACGTACAATATCGCAAAATGCCGTAGTCATCACTTGCGTTCGGTCTGCCGAGTTTCGAGAATTCATCGTTGTTGAGTTGGTAGATGTGATTATAGGCATTCGTGAGTGTATGATACTCTCGACGCCAAGAGGACGATTTGACGTTTATCGCTCTCTCTCGCTCTCTCTCTTTCTTTCTCCAAATCAAGTCCGCAATCGAAGGCTACTTGAAGAATATTTATCGTGGAATTAAATTAATGTCTATAGCTAATGCCCAACATTACTTTTTCAAGTATACTCCAACGCGCGCATACGCCTTAGCTTGGACATTCTTTCACGCTTTCTTTTTTCTCCCTTGGACACATTTTGTCTTAATTTACAATTTTATTTTTCTCGCATTTACGTCTTAATGTATAATATATGCACAAAAAATAAATTATACTTACTCATTCGATTTTCATCGTAATTTTTTCTACAGTGCATAGAAGACGCGAATTATTGAAAATATTCAATTTATCAAAGTGGACTAGGCGTGATTTGCAGTGAGTCTTTATAGCTCCACATTTATTCCCAAGAAGTACACAACGACTCCAAAAACGAAATTCGTATCTTCCATAAGTACTCGGCTGATATTGGCTAATTATTTTTCCCTATCATACAGTCGCGTGATCGGCCTTTGTCGCCCGTAACATCGCTACCCGACTCGGTGAAAATGGCGTTGACAGCCTTGAGCCGAGTTACTCTTCACTCCGTTGCAGTACGCACCATCACTGGCGCTGTGTCTAGCGCGACGCTCGTCTATACATGAGAAATCGCGTGAGAGGTCAAATCCGGAGTAATGACGAGTGGTGACAAGCAAACGCCGTGTAACAGTGACTAATGGCACATTACCAACATATTTTACATTTTTAGGTTGAAGAAACGCGTTTTCTCCGACTGACATAATTGAACGGTTCAAATCGAGCATAACGCTCATATTATTTCACGACAATGAATGAATTATCAAAGTCTAATGCTCTTTCATGATGTAGAAAATCTTGTTTTTCTGGGATTATGTAAGATCGAAACCTTTATAAACTTACGGCTTCTGTATTGGACGACATTTAGAAACCTCTTAGAAACCTCTTTTAATTTATTAATGGTCAATATTTCAACGATGATATCGTTATTATCACGAAATTTTTCTGAAAAATTCTAGAAACTTTGAAACATAAAATGATACAAAAGATACATAGTTAATTTATACTATCATTTGAGGATTAAACGCTCAAACTATGTCTTGAAGTTTCACTATACCAGTTTTAATTTTGGTTTTATTGACGAAATCAGCATTGTATATCTGACTCGTGATTATCGTTAATTTAATTATTCTGATTGAATTTGCATAATTTTTACAGTTACGAAATTAGATTTTCCATTTTTCTCTTATGTAAAAAAGTATATATTGAATTACATTCGTGGCAATTATAATAGCGTTTGAAGGTTGTCGAAAATTGGGCTAGGGGTGACAACTCGAAGCAGAGCAGCATAACGTGAACATATTCGCTGTCAAGCATAAAGTCAACAGCAATTGAAAAAGATTGTAACTCAAGGAGAGGACTTAACTGTCCTCGATAACCCAAAGAATGTGCTTGTTTGATTTAATCGAAATTACGAATGCGCACAAGCTGCCACCGGTGGCCGGTAGCACGGATAGTATGCCAGGCTATAATCCGCATATCGAAAACATTTTTGTCGCAATTTTTCACTAACGAGAATATGTACATACAGCTACAAAGAGAATTTCATAAACGCCCCAGTCAAAGACCTCTTTTTCCATGCATACTATATCAGGATATTCATCGGCAGTAGAATGAAAAATTGCCAGCGCGTGTGTACGCATATGCCCGCACGCACATGATATATATATGCGTTCACATTCAAGTCCCTTTTTTGGAAGATGGATTTTTTTAAAGCGAGGGGGCTAGTTGATGTTAATGAAACGATTCGCAACAACTGGTCATTCGACAGACCTGACCGATGAGTTTATAACAGTTTTATGATCGAGATTACACGTATTATAGGTATAGGCATTAATATTATTATGTATAGAAGTTTGATGAGTTTTCCGTGAAACTCATTTGTTTTTGCATAATACAGATGGATACGCAAAACTTGGAGAGGAGAAAACGTTGCGGATTTTAAATATGCGCGTTGTTGCACGAAATATAAATGTCCTCTTCTTTGGAAAGATTAATGCGAAAAGGTACGAGGTACGAGTACTCTGCTAGATGGAGATGTGTAATCATTGCTCAGTTGACAGGTGTATAATTATTATGACTTTTTGAAAGCGACTGCGCTGCTATTCTGCTGCTGCTGCGCCGTACCTCTCAATTGCGAAAGATCCAAGTTTTTTCCTATTTTTCTGACTCACGTTGCGGCGATAAAACTTGGCTATCATTCATAAAAGATATACGTTTTGCAATTTGCAAACTAATAAGTTTGTCAATCGTCGTAAATATTGTCTCGTATTAGCTCACCGTTAAAATTCCTCTGGCTGCTGGATTAAAATGTTGGCTAGTGCGAATAACTCCCGGCATTTACATAATATTCGTCACGCACACGAGCACAAGTGAATCGTGTACACAGAATTACAGAGTTGGAGCGCGCGAGCGCATTAGCATAAGTATGCGAAAAATGTGACAATTCTTACTAAAAGTTGAATTTTTTCTATTACAGCCGACAGTACCGGCGCGCGCTACATGGCTCGAGGCGATCGCTGGTCGCCGACGAGGTGCGAGAGGTCCAGTCTCGTCATCAGCGAGTCCTCGGCGAGTTGAACCTCGACGTCGAGGCGATGCTCATGCCAACGATGGCCGACCATCAGAACGGCGACAGGGAGCAGAACGTCGTGGCCATCAACGGCGGCGGCGCAGTGGCGCACAGCAACGGCAACGCCACGGAGCTGCAGATGCTCGGCCACCACCACCACCACGTCCATCACGAAATGCTATCGTCGCCCATCGCGACGTGCGCCGCCGATCTCGACAGTGGCTTCAGCGGCAGTTCCAGTGCCAGTTACAGGTAACGACTATTACGCTCGTCCTTCTCTTGTACTGCGAGCCAAGTCCGAGTCAAGGCAACTTAGTTACGAGTCCGTCTGGCTCGGCTTATAAGTACCAAAGTTTCGGGTCAAGCGAACAGGTGCACGCACAGTTGCGCGCGAGCTTGGCGCAGCTACCCTATCAGACATTCGGATAATATAAAGTTTTTGGCTTGAGAAAATGTTTGGCAAAGTTTTTTTACCTTGTAACGTTTAACTTTCTTCGCGATAACTCACATTGCAACTTATTTCAAGCGTGCTCGGGTACATACTATATACGTACAGGGAGTCGGTGCACACGCGTAGGCACGCGCAGCTCGCAGGGGACGAAGAGCGTGACAGATAAACCGCTGATTCATTGATAACGCTTCAGCAAAAACTTTCTCAGCGAATCAGCATAAAATGCAACCGTGATGGATAATGTAGGCAGATCGACGTGGCGCAGTCAACGATACATCGGAGTTTTGTAGCGTGAAAAACCTCTCTCGGATAGAAAAGTTCCTCTCTGTTCTTTAATCGAAACTTCGCATGCGTAGATTCATAAAAATAGGCGCACGATGCATTCGCGGCTCTCTACAATCGAAGCGATGAATGAAATTGAAACTGTAGCAACATAGAAACCGTAGAAACATACGCCGAGTTAACTCGGCTACTCGTCTCGATCGTAGCGAAAAATTCAATCGCGGAGAACGAGCACCGTAGTGGCTTGGGTGCGAACGAGCTGAACGAGCTGGGGCTACGAATTCAAGAGTCTCGTTCTGTCGAGGTAATAGCAACGAAAAGGAAGCGATACGACCGATAACGTGCACACGTCGCGGTGAATTACAATAGCATCCAGTGTTGATCTTTGGATCGCTTGTAGACCGCATTTATGTACATGCTGTGCGTATGCGATAAAGAGAGGTAAGCCTCGTAAGGCGCGCGTATTGGCGCGAGTGCACCCGTTAAAGTTGCGCAGCTCCTTCCGAGTTACCGAGTCCCTCGCGATCGACTCGCAAGCAAGGCACAACAAGCTCGGTGAAATTGCAACAGGACATCTAATTCGACTCGTGACGAGTAATTTCGTTAGAGCGATCGTCGCGACGCACCGAGACGCAGCAGGAGATACTCATCGGATAGTGAGCAATCAATTTGCTACTCCAGGGCCCCCTTGAATCGTGTACTTTGTATGCGACTGTAGGCTACATATTATTTACCGGATCCCCAAAAGACTCTACTCGCGCGCTATCGATCAGTTGGCTCGTCGGGCGTATAACGTATATCTGCTCGGCATATCAGAGTAGTTAGTGCAGCTGTTCGCATGGAAGCCCCTCTCGTCGGGCTAGACGATAATCTCGTCTGTCGAGCGTCTTATCTCAACACCTTGAGCACGCATTCTCATTAACCGCATGGCAGGAATTCTCGAATCTCTATCTAATCCTCTCTGTCTGCGTCGTCTGTTGCAAATGCAGATCCGGTTTGGGTTCGCTGCGTCGTAGCCTCGGGAGGACTAGCACCCCGGAAATCATGAGCAACGGCCATTACGTCGGCTGCAACGGCTCGATGCCGCACCACCAGTCTCATCAGTATTACAACTTGCGTCATCTACCGCTGCACTCGTTGCAACAGCAGGACCAGCATCAGCTGCAGCAGCTTCACCAGCAACAGCTTCAGCAGCATCATCATCGAATGAACGGCACCGTGAGCGTCTCGAGCAACAGCAGCAAAGTCAAAGCTGCCATGATCTGGAAGAAGGGCTGGAAAAAACTGCAGGCGTTAGGATCCCTAAAAAACGGTAAGTCGGCTTGACCGAGCATTTCAATTCTCCATAAATAATTTCCTATATGTACTATACAGCTCGCGCACAGCAGTATCGATTAGAGTCGTTGCAAGTTGCCATCCAAGTTGTGCTGCTCGGGGTATGCTCGGCTGCTAGTTGCGGCGTACTTTTGCGAGAGTCAAGTTTTGGAACTGGTGACGATGAGTCGTCATTTGTTCCGCAGCTTGCCGCAGCTTCATTAGCGTCACTGCAGCCGACGTACTCGGGGCGCGCGGCTCTTAAACCGCGACGTAAATATGTAGCCTACGCGTGACTTATTCCACATCTTCCATTGTTTAGAGCTTGAGTTTCGAAAGGAGCTCATGCTTGCTCGGGCTGGCTCTAATGTCACGGACTCGGATCTATAATGATTTGTAACGGTAAGCAGATTAATTCTCTGCAAAGTTGAAAGTCATCGGGCATCGGATTACCGATTGCGAGTTTTTATTAGCGGGCCCGCTCGCTAAAGCGATTTTCGCCTTACGACGCCATCAAAACTTGCAGATGCTCTTCTAAACGGGAAGCGATGGCTGCACGCGCGCAGCCGAGTAAAAGGAAAAATAATAATGCGATGGGTGCGCATGTAAAGCCGTCGTATTGGAAGACGGCTTTCGTCGCTCCTGCAGTTTCGCGGCGGTGCAATAAAGGTCAGCAAAGTCAGCTCGCACGATGGCGCGTATCAGGCGGAGCGATCGTCGAGCTTGGTGCTCGCGCGACCTATCGACCTTTGCCGATGGCACCCATCAGAGTCGCTCGTTCGCCTTTATTTCTTTCTCTCTCTCTCGCGGGCCTCCCCCCTTTAGCTCGCTTCGAGCTCGAGCTGCTCGCACACATGCGTCGATCATAGTCACCTACGCCGAGGCGCATTATGCGGCATAAAGGCGTGTTGCTCCGCGCCGCGCTTGGCACTAGCTACCAAAGTATAGGCAGCGGGGACCGCCGTACCGCTTGAATGACGCTATTGTCGCCAATGCAGCGTGCGAGATACACGCAGAAAAGAAAAAAGTACGCGCGGCATAAGGCGAAGCGTGGAGCGCGTTCGCTTTGCTGCCAATGGTATTTTATGTATAGTATAGCGTTCGTCGAAGCCTTTACCGTTAAAATGTGTTGCTTTTTTTCATTTTACGGGCGTATGCGCGCGGTGCAGCCAAAGACTCGAGAGCAGCGCACACATGCACGTGGACGACAAAGACTAGCATTGATCGTTATCGCTTTCGTGTGTCGCCGTTGCTGCTGCTGCTGCTTCAAGTATAAGAGCACAGTGCGCTCTTGCAACACCGCGGCTGCCCGAGCCCTATGCGAAATATCCTTGCGCCAGAATCAGAAAACTATTTCACTTATCTGCACCAGTCCCACCATCGACTATTGACGCGAACCCGTATATATGTATATAATATGCAGACATTATCGTGTGCTGTGTATAGCAAGTAGACAAGCGCTACGAGCGTATTGCTCTACGATACAAGTGTGAGTGAATGGATTTGCTTGTATACACGTTTGCGTTCGTGCGCAGGGCTAAGGCTATTAGCCGATTGATCAAAGTTTCATTAGCATAAGCGATCGTTGGCTGTTCGATGTATAAAGGCGCCTCTAAATCATGCCACACGGTCTCGCATCAACAATTAGTCAACCGGTAATAACGGAATTGTGTACTTGACTGAGACCGCAAAGTTTCGCAGCCTCGTAGTTATCGCTATAGTAGGCCGCAGTAGGCTCGCAGTTTCAATCAGTGAAGCTGCGGGCAGTTTTTGCCAAAATTGCCCGACCTTGTTGTGTCTCTTATCAACGTGCCATACGTACATTTACTGCTCCGGAGTATTGGATGGCGCGCCGGCTGGTGTAGCTGCAACATCGCACTAATCTCAACGTAGCATAAATCTCGCAAGACGCTCGCCTTAGCTTGTTTGCCTGATAACTCTCGACTAGCATTATCATCCCTCGCTGCACGCCGTCTTGCATGCGCTGAGGCAACATCGGCGCGGCTCTCTGCGGCATTTACCCGGGCTTCCCTCGGGACAGCGAGAGGAGCATCGTTTTAGTCAGCCGCGAGTTAATTATGCTCCGCAGACCTCTTAGACCAAATGTCGTCTCGTTGCCTAGCGTATTGCTTACCGCGTCTTCGAGTACTTGCACCATCCTCCACTCTTTCCTTCAACTACACCTAGGTCGGCTAAACTCGTATGTATTTTGTTCGTAACAATGTCAAAAATACCGACTTTGCTGTACGCACCTTACTGCTTAAGAAAATCTATCGATAGGTCTTTGACGGCAAATGGATTTTCTTGCCGAGGCACATCGTTATCCTCGTCTCGTCGTCGCCGCGCCGTCGCTAAGAGAAACGCTCCATCACTGCTCAAGCCTCGCTATGCACCCAAGTGAGTCTGGGATTATACCAGCTCGAAACGCGTAATCCGCTGTCTCGCGTACGTCGTACGTTTTGTCGAGGACCAGCTTCGTTGTATTTTCTTCCTCTCTCTCTTTCATTTCCTTTAATAATTTATTTTTTGTTCACTTTTTTTGTAATTTAATTTTTCAAGGCGTCAAATGTCAGGGCGCATACTACGCTATAATTGGGCTTGCGTATGTATGTCGCATGAAAGACGTTTTGCCAGACGTGCAGGCAGTTCTAATGGCGAATGCTGAACTCTTAGCGGCGCGCGCGTGCATACATAGGTATATAGAGCGGTATGTTTCGTGGTCCAGCCTCGACGCCACGCTGCGTGCCGAACGAACGACCGCATAATGCCGCTAAGTCACGTTTGATACCCAGTTGGAGCTACAAATCAAGTTCTCGGCGGCGGCACGAGCCTGACTAATGAATCGAGCTGCATAAGTATAGCCAAGCATGTGGCGCTGCAATTCAAAAATATACAATGTATACATTGCTTTGCGGCGTGTCTATTAGTTTTTGGGCGTCAATACATTTACCACGTGATTCACACCCGAAAGATATTAACGAATTAATACAGTAGTTTAGAAGCTCCGCAATACCCGCAATACCGTCAATAATAGGGTTCTTTAAATGGTTCAGTAGTACTCAAGTTCTGCCTCTTAATACATTGATGATACACTTTCGAGCTCGTAATAATTCCATATATATTGGCTCTGAATCGAGAAGATGTAAAAGTATTCACGACGCTATAAAATTATGTATTATATGTTTGTGTGCGCACGTGCGCGTATAATATATGTTGATAAGAAGGGAAAGTTTTTTTGCGCAATAAAAAAAGCACATCCCGAGAGTCGAACGACTCACTGAGTCAGTGTGCATGTTACATGTATCATGTCAAAAGAGCCCACACGTACCTCACCCTATAATGAAAATACTAAACAACTTCCGCACGTTAAAGCAAACTCTTTTCTTTACACGCAATAGTATAGTGATGGAGGCTCACCACAAGCATCGTTAAAGGGAAAAAATATAGTTGAACAAGCATTCGCCCCTCGACCAATAAAAAACTTTTGAGTTCATATTGCCAATCTAATTCAGCTTATACGTGTTTCTTGCCAATTTTTGCTCAACTTTGATGATGCATTTGTTTCTCTCTCTCTCTCTCTCTCTCTCTGGCTCTCTTTCTTTATCTCTCTAATACTATAGCCAAAATAAAAGCTATATGTGCTCACGCATTTACTCTCGAGAAGTGCGCAAAACACAGACACACATAAACACGAGCGACACACACATAAGCGAATACAACCCTAATAATCCGTTGAAATTCTGTTTCAGTATTTCTTTTTTCTCTGTCTTATTCGTTAAGCAAAAGCAACCCGCCGCGGCAGCAGCTGCACACAGGAAAAAGTCGAGAGTGCAGACTCTCTTGTACGGGCAGAGCCGCGGTGTGCTGGCACTGCCAACAACCTATACGCGCGATGAATTCGAAAAAATTCCCAGAAGTAGCAGCGCCAGCAACAGCAGTGTACGACCGAGCTCAATGAATGAGTGAATTTTGGTCTTTCGCTCTCTCTGTTTCTCTTCTGATATTACCTATACTATGTGGCACTCGATTCGGTGCTGCAGTACTGCTACTGCCTCGCTGGCAGCCAAGATGTTCCTCGAAAAGAAAATCGTCTACTTTAACAGCTAGCTCGCAGGTTTTGCAAGTTTCAAAGAGTTTTGTTTTTTTATTAAATTCATCAAGGATTCACGCTCGTGGTAGCCACGTAAAGACATTGATCGTGATAGGCGATGATATTTACGGCAGCACTAGCAATTATGACAATGGGCTTACAATTTTTAGGAGCTTAATGCAAAGGCAAAGAGGCGATAAGTTATTGATGCCACAGGAGATTTTCTGTGGTCGTGTTTACCGCTGAAAGTTTTGGATGCAGCCACTGCGGCTGTTGTGCGCCAGATAAATGATGCTTGCGAACCGACGTTGTAGGGCGCAGCCTGTTCATTATGCCATTACGCACGCGCATAAAACGTAAACAGTCAAGTGGCTGAATTTCGTTTTGATTTATGCGGGCTTATGAGATATGGATTTTGGTAAATGTGCGGCGATTTATCCGATCGCTGTGCATTCGAACGTGAACGTGAGTCGATCGCTGCTGCAATGTAAATTATCCGTATTAACACGTCGGATCTTTGTGTCAGTCCTCGGCCCTCGCGATCTTTATTTTTACGTTTTTCTAAGATGTATCGATTATTTTCAAAGTAAATGCTTAACGACGAAACAATTCGAGTCGAGTGCGCGTACGCGCGAGATTTGACGAACTTGAAAACTTCACGCTGTGCAATACGTTTTCGCATATGATGTAGCAAATCAAAGGGAAGCACTCAGGGGAGGCACGAGTCGTGATTTTTGAATATGTATTTTAGTGAACGTAGCCCTGCATTGGTATTTTAACGATTTGTAACGAGCCACACGACTGAGCATCGATCATTGTCGTAACCTACACATAACATTTAATTCTCGCGTCGAATCGTGGTTGGACAAAAAATCATTACATACGTAAGTGTATATTTCGCAAACACG